ACCCTAACCTTAATCTAAGCCTACTAATACTCTAATGAGAGTTAGTTGACATGTCGCTGCAAAGTTGCTTATAGTCAATAGACTAGGGGGACCATCAAAATAAAATGTAACCTAACATATAAACATTGCATTTTTTTTTTTTTTCAGTTGAAATTATTAACTAGCTCACATCCAAATTAATATTAGCCTCACAGGGAACATTCAAATAACACTCAACACCTAACCACTCACAAGATGTAGTAAGATACTGTGCAGATCTTAAATAAACAATGTCAAGATATGATATAGTCCATTATTCTGTAAATGAAGTAGATTTAATATAGATTTAATAGTGTTCATTGTGTGTTATAAATAATCATACTCTTAAACTTATAACCACAAATACGTATCATTATAATGCCTTAAGAATACCCTTATAATGTATTATAAATACGGGCTTCATAGAAAGTGTTACCAAACAAAGTATAGTGTTTTAAATGTACAAAAAATTTAAAATAAAAAAATATATATAAAAAAACTTTGCCAGATTTACAATATTCATAATTGTGGAGATGCGTCATCAGTCTGTGAAAAAGGTCCATTGTACACCTTACGTTACTCAGCTCTGTTCAGAGAAATCAGTCAATCAAAGTGCAAAGTGTGCAAGAGAGAGCGAGAGCGAGAGAGAGAGAGAGAGAGAGAGAGAGAGATACTTGAAGATACTTTTTTACCATGCCAATAAAGCTACTTGAATCTGAATCTGAAAATCTGAGAGAGAGAGAGGGGGGGTCACATCACAGTGGAGAGTCAGCTGTCTTAACCGTGAATATACAGTATTTGAAAAATAATGTGTTTTTTGAACATTAAAGCATGTCAACATATTCTGTTACACCAAATACACAAAATAATGATCTTTAAAAAAGCATCATATGACCCCTTTAACCTGAATAGAGTCTGTCTGCTTTCCCTTAAAGGAGTGGTAAAAAAAAAAAGGAACAGAGGCTCTGGATTGCGTCATGTTGGTATGGCAACTAAAACTGTATGATGTAATGGCAGGCAACACTTAACCCTGACTAGTTACAGCTAATCTGCTCCTTTATCCGTTGTGTGTGTTTCTGTGATTGAGAGTGTTGAAAAGCTGATTTGGGTGAAGTGAGGACTTGAGTGCAGTGAGGACACCATGCACCTTGTAGTGCAGTCTATCTACCCTGTTGGTGCTCCTTGTCTGAGTTACAGGCAATGTTTACTTATTTTGCACACGTGATATTAAACAAAGAGAGACATTCACAGTACTGAGTCATACCACAAATGTAATGTCTATCTTTGAGTCTCTAAGTCAGCCATTTTAATTGTATAGAAATATATTCCCTCTAAAGCCTACTTTGAAAGTACGGAACAGTGGATCTCAAAATATGAGAATACAGTCTGTGGTTCACTGGTGCTGCATGAATGTTTCCAAGTGGCCCACTAGTTGGTTGTCTTATAATAAGATAATAGACCTGAAAAATAGATCGACTGATTGATTAACTTATAACAATGAATTAACTGATTGATAACATTAACTTGTGATAAAATGTTTCTGTTGTCTAACATTAATTACATAGCTGAAGTTATACAAGTATTCAGTCCGACTTCTTAGTGAACAGTTAGCTTAGTCAGTTTAGGCTTGTTAGTTAAAATTTTCAGCCTGGCGAATGAAATAAGGACAAAACAAGATATAATGTAAAATCTATAACTAAAACTAAGAAATTGTTAGGAGATATTTTAATATTATTATTGTATTTTATTATTTTATTTTATTATCATATGAGTTCTTATGAAGGAGGGCCCTTTGGTAAGTCACGCTGGCAGGTTTTGTCTTATTACATTGAAGGGCTTACATACGCCATGATGAAAGATGAGGTAATGACTGGTGTGTTGTGATTGGTGGTGACATAAACCAGCAACCAATGCTCTTCTTTTGATTGACCTTCTAGAGTTATTTGTGTGATCACACCTACTCAAGGTTAATCGTACTTTTGGCACGTCAGAGCAGTTCTGGATAATGCTGACATCAACATGAACCCACTAATCTGCTAACCCCCCCCAATCTGCACTCTATTTTCACATCTAAGTGTTTGCCTGTTGAGCTTTTCCTTTGAAAAGTTAATTGATATTGATGATTGAAGATTTATTATTATTATTGTATCACAAATGTTAGCCAAATAGAACAAGTTGTGTCAGCACTTAAAATTAAGTTAGCACTATGAAAAGGATTATGAAATTTACATGCGGTTGTATTTTCTTCAGGTGTACCCACTCCGAGTCCAGAGATCCTGCGGCACACGCTGAACATGTTGGTACGGGAGAGAAAGATCTACCCCACACCAGAAGGTTACTTCATTGTTACTCCACAGACCTACTTCATCACCCCCTCCCTAATCCGCACCAACAGCAAGTGGTACCACCTGGATGAGCGGCATCCAGAGCGACAGCAGCAGCAGCAACAACAACAGCAGCAACAGCTTCAACAACAGCAGCAGCAGCAACAGCCGCCACCTCAACAGCAATGCACATCACCACAATCTGGAACCATAACTCCCTCCACCTCTGGCTGCGTACGAGAAAGGCCTAACCCTAAGAACCACTGCGACTCCTATAATGCCTACCGTGATGAGGTGCCCAGCATTCATACCTCAACAATTCAAAGAAAATCCCCAAAAGAACCCAAAGGAGAGCCCCCTTCATACCTACAACCCCCACCGCCTCCACCTGCCATTCAGCATCCACCTGACCCCACCGACAAGAGCAAGAGCATAACCGCCACCTTCTCTTACAAGACAGATACACTAACCAAGAAGAAGGAGGGCAGTGGTGGGGGCAGCAGTGAGAGGCAGTCTAAGAAGTTTGGGCTAAAGCTGTTCCGCTTGAGTTTGAAAAAGGACAAGACCAAACAGCTGGCCACCTTTTCAGCACAGTTCCCTCCAGAGGAGTGGCCCTTGAGGGACGAGGATACACCGTCTGCTGCAGCGATCCCTCGTGAGGTGGAGATGGAGATCATCCGCCGCATCAACCCAGACCTGACAGTGGAGAATGTGGCCCGTCACACAGCTGTCATGAAGCGACTGGAAGAGGAACGAGCTCAGCGCTGCAAGGCCAGCTCCTCAGCACAGCACAGTGCTCGCAGTCGCCGGAGCCGAGGCCACCGGCGTGTGCCACATGGGAAGTCACGTTCGCACAGCAAGACACGGGCTTCTCGGGGAGACCCCTCTGAGGGCTCCAATCTGGACCTGCCAGCAGTCAGCCTGGAGAGGGACTACCGTTTTTTCAGTCACTCTCTGGTACGCTCACCAAGAGAGGGAATGTACACAGTGGAACGCAGAAGTGGTGGTGCCTACCTTGTCCACAGCAACCCCAACATTGCTGAGTCACACTTTCCTGTCACCCCAGAGTGGGATGTTTCGGGGGAGCTTGCAAAGAGGCGGACAGAGATGCCTTTCCCTGAGCCTTCACGTGGGACGTCACATTCTAGAGTGCACCGGAGCCACAGCCACACTCAGGACCGCAAGTCACGCAATGAGCGGCCCGATAAGGCTAAAGAGCGATCGCGTTCTATGGACAACTCCAAGGGCCCACTGGGAGGTGGGAGCTCCACACTTGGCACAGCTGAGGATTATGACCGCAGTCCTGATGACAGAAGTCGCTACTATACCGATGATGGGACGCTGAGGGCCTCCTCTCAAAAGGCCCCACACTACTCGTGTATCATGTTTTCTGCTGCCAAGTTCAGCTCTGAAATGTCTGTACCTGATATGGGCAAAATGAGTCTGGATGAATCGAGGCTCTGCAGCCCTCTAGAACGGAACAAAAGCAGGGACAGTCTCCCAGCCTACAGTGACCTGAAGGCCTTGTCGCCAAAGCCTTTGGCTGATGACTACTTACAGTGCAATACATCGAATGAAACAATCCTTACTGCCCCACTGACTTTGGGCAAATCTGACCATGACACTTTAACCCCATCTGATGGAATCCGCAAGGGCTCTCCAGCTGACCGGCAGACGCCGCACCTCACCCCTCCTCACCCCTTGGAGTACAAAGAGGACTCCTCCACCAAGGGGCACAATGGTTCTGGCAAACCCACACTGAGCCAGACACCTGAGCCTATGCCCAATGGACGTTTGATACAGCACCAACACAACACTGACCCAGGGGGCGGGGGAGGTGGTGGTAGCACTGGTGGCGGGGTGGACAAGAGGAAAGAGATTTTTAGTAAGGACACTTTGTTCAAACCGCCACACAATGTTTTGACTGTGAGCTATGTGGACAGTGGCTACTCAAAGTCAGGCACTTTGTGTAAGACTCCGCACATGAAATCATCCGAGGTCCTTGACACTCTGGAGACCCAGCAACCACCTAACTCCACCCCTTTGTCTGCATCTGCCCCGGCACCTACAGGCACAGAACAGGATGCTCCCTCCACATCTGAAGCTGCTTTTGACTATTACAACGTGTCAGATGATGACGATGAGGAGGAGGCAGAGGAGGCCTCCCGTAAAGAGGCCGCCCCAACAGAAGCAAAAGGGCGGGCAGGGGCTGGAGACGGTGGTGGAGGCGGCGGGACCATGCAGTGGTTGCTTGAACGGGAGAAAGAGCGGGATTTACAGCGGAAGTTTGAGAACAACTTGACTCTGCTTAGCCCTAAGGAGAGCGAGAATAATAACAGCCAGAAGTCGGCTCACTCGGCACGGCTGGACAGCATGGACAGCAGTAGTGTGACTGTAGACAGTGGGTTTAACTCCCCTCGGTAAGTACTCAGAATGTGTTACATATTGAAAACCCATATTTGAGTGTATATTGCCAATTGCTGACTGTGAACAAGTGTTCAGTGCATCAATTAATTGCCATTTTTCTTTTTTAAATTCTTATTACCAAAGACATAAGATTAGGTTCGATAGTGAGGAAATAAAATATAACATTATGCTTACCAGAAAACATAAATTGCGAATATGGTAGAATCCACTTTATTTCTCTGACATCCCACAAAATGAAATGTTGTTTTCCACAGGTCATTTTTTATATGTTTGTTTTATTAACATTTTTGATGTTTGATTTGAAGCACATAGTTGCATAGGGCCCATATAATTACAATCTTATACTGTGATGTATGGCATGTTTTTTCCCCTTCTTCTTTGCCAAGGCCACAAACCAGCACAGACAGCCTTTAAGTGGGTTTCCCAGGGCTGTGTATGTGTTAGCAGAAGCCCTTTATGAGTGAGAGGGTGAGGACTTTTCAGCCACTAAAAATAGACCCCTTGTGTCTGTATGACTCATTCAGAGGGATATGGCAGGGGTAGAATAACTGAGAAGAGCCTACATGTTCTGCACATGTGCTGCCTCTACTCCTTACAATATACTCTAAGAAAACTAAACACAGGAAAAAGTACCATGTTAATATGCCGGAATTTTCTTTATTGATTTTTCCCAGGTGTTTTAACCTTATTTTGAATTACACATAACATTATATTGTATTTTAAGGTTGAAGGAAATGTCTGATACTTACACTAGTAATTTTCTGCTAGGACTTAGTCAGTTTTTCTACATGTTTTTTTTTCTTACAGTGTAGTGCATGTTTGCTTACTTATTTTGACCTAATAATGACCTCATTCTATGACTGATATGTCAGTTAGTGAAAACCAACATTTTAACTGAAAATCCCATAGAAAGCCTCTCTAAATGGACCTTTGTAATTTAACACTGTACGTAAGTACCAATAATATATTTTATCAATACAACTCATACTGCTGTGCTGATGAAAATGTTCTTTTCTTTTGTTGTATTGAACTGAAATCCTTACATTTGTAATGTTTTGATAACTTGTGTAATGCAATGCATTTTACCGTCCTTTCTACGATCAGTTATCGTGTATCGTGTACGATGATAATAGTAATAGGCTATGAATATACATTAGTTGTGGCCCAGTCACATTGTGATGGAGCTACAAAACTTACAAGACAAACTGCCACAAGTCTCTAATTTTAAGACCCCCAGCAGTCCCTTCAAGCACACCCCCCCACACAGACAATCGTTCACTATTTTCTGGATGACTCATCACATTAGCGATGATGTCATTTCACAGCTCCTGGAAAAACACCAGCATAGCTCTTGTGCATAGACACAATTTAGTTTGTGATTGATGTAAGGTAGTAATGCAATTACACAGAGTGGGATATGCAAAAGACAAAAAAAAAACCCTGCATGCTTATCTGTGCAGTACTGATGTTAAATACATTATATCTGAGTTTAATATGTGCTTTTAAAGCAATAGTTTTCCACAAAAATGTCATAATTTACTTAACCTTGTGTCATTCCAAACCTGTATGGCTAACTTTCTTCCATGGCACACAAAATGAGGAATTTGATTACTATTTTTCATGTAATTACAGTGAAAGCTTCAGAAAACACAAGACACAAAATCACAATACAAGCATCACTAAATACTTGTGAACACATTTGCCACTTCTCTCATGAATGCACTCTGGAGAGCTACAGTATGTGAAGATTTTCAGTGAATAAAGATTTCAATTACAGTCTGTTTCTTACAACACAATCATATGGACCTCTTTTATAATACATTTATGGTGCTTTTGTGTCCATTTTGAATTGTGTAAGCTTCAGTATCTGCTCATTGTAATTTCATGGACAAAGGCAGGGAAAACTTCTTCAGAATTTTTCCTTTTGTTTTCTGTGGAATACAGCCATACCATACGAGCATGAGTAAATGATGATTTCAGATTTTGTCAAGCTATTCCTTTAATCCACTTCTCCCTGCAGTATAACCTCTTTCTTGTGGTTGGCTGTCAGTGCTTCTGGTTTAGTTGCTTGAACATCTGATTGTTGTCATACTGTCACAAAGGAGTACACTGTTTTTGTACAGCTAAACAATCCTGCAAACCAGAGTGAAACCATAGGTAAGGGTGAGGTTGTGTATTTTTTTGTCATTCTGGGGACTTGTGTGATGGTTTGTATTGTTTCTCCTGCCTCAAAGTAATGATCCAGTTAGTTTGTCTTAAACTCTACTCTTTGTTCTTTCTCTATCGCTTCTTCTCTGGTCATTTTCTCACCTCCACCACTTTCTCAGCACACGGGAAAGCCTGGCGTCCAACACCTCAAGCATTGTGGAGAGTAACCGGCGACAGAATTCGGCCCTAAGTCCAGGCCACATGGGTACCACCAGCATCGGCCCCCCATTCAGCTTCCGTGCAATCCCAGAGCCCCCCACAACACAACCTGAGAAACTGCAGAAATCCCCCAACTGCCTTGCCTCCATCACCAGCGTCTGACACGGGCCTATCTGGGTTGACGTAGGGTCAGGGTGATCTGCAATGTTGGGGTGCCTAAGTGCAGGAGGTTGGGTGATTCGCTCCATCAAGCACCTCGACTACATGGGGACTGTTAAACCCACAGGCATGGCTTCCAGAGACTGTTCCCACAGCATAAATGGTCACTGCAAAAAACAAAATTAAAAGGGAAAAACATGGAAAAGGAAATTTCACATAATAGGATTATTTACCCTAACAAGCAATTAATCAGGAAATTCTCCAGTCGGAATCAACCATTATTTTCAAGATAGGCTTGAAGTAACTGGTAATTTAATAATGTTTTGTTTTCGAGAGTATTTTTGTCAGCCACAGATTAGAGATCATCCAGCCAGTGGATTAAGTTTGCACGCATTAAGAAATAGATGCTGATGTGCAGGTCAAAGGTATTATTGGTATGCAGTACAAAAAAAATGTAAGGCATAAAAGCCCTAATCTGAGCAACATTTAATTCATGGTTCATAAAGTTGTATAATATTCCTAAAAATAAATACATTTGTCATGACACTGTTAGCTACATTGGTGACAATAAGAATCATACTCACATGCTTAATAAAACAATACATAGACTGAATTAGTGGGAAAAAAATGATCTCATTCTGAAATTAAGGCTTTTTTTTTTATTTAATTTTATTTTTTTTACCCAAATGTATTGTGCATACAATTACTTTGTATGCAACTTTACACTAAGTAATGGATTTACCTGTTTCATTAAAGTTCATATTTAATCTCAGGTCATGAATAGTTAACTCTCCTAAGAAGAGGTAAAAACATCAGTAAGTCTGTAATCATGTTTCTGTGGATCGTTTCACCAATCTTTGTTTCTTAAGGGAATAAAACGCTCTCTGTAGACAAAAATATAAACGATTTCAATTGAATTTTCGTCTCCATTTAACTCGGATGTAGATTATTTTTATTGTTATTCCCTTTTGAAATAAAAACAGGTGTGTGTTTTATCCCGGTGTGAATCTGATACATAGTCTCATGAACCAGGACACTTGTGGATGTCATTGTTGGTTTGGAAACATGCTTGTCTTCTGTGTAGCTTGATGGCTTTATTTATTGTCATGAAAGAAGGAAGATGTTGGAAATCGTAATGGCGGGAACACGGGTGTTGCATCCAAAACACTCCAAGGAAAGGTCATACAGTTCTCTTCCTTTGGGCCAGTGGGATTCAGAGACTAGGCCCTTTTGCTGCTCCGATAAAAATCTTGCTTTTTAAAGATTTTCTTACTTGAGTTGAATCCAGACCACTATGGCATTTTATTTTCAAACTTTTTGTTTTTGTTGTGTTGTTTTCCTTGGGAATTGAGCTGTTTTTGATCATTACTCAAATCATGTCCCTGACCTCAGTGGAAAATATGGTCAACAGATGATGTGGTTAAAAATTTTGCCCCAGCCAACACATGATATGTACTGTATATTCACAATCTTCTCAATCTTTTCATGATTTCAATAAATGCTTGTTTTAGGTTGGAACAACTTATTCAGTGAAAGTATGTACAAATAATTTGCTCCGCTGTTATTTATCATTCCTTTCAAATTTCACAGTTGAATAGATTACATCAGGTTTTGACCTGCCATGTGGAATATACAGTAAGTCTCAGATCCATGAGCGAAGGCTCATTTCAAAGATTGAATTAAGCATTAAAATACTTGCTTTGAACATTTGGACTATGGCTTTAACTGTTTGGAGTGCCATCTCAAGAAAGCACCAGAATTAACGTGTCCTTTCTGGCAGTGACTCGGTGAGATTTTGGAAAGACAGCAGAGCTCATGTTGCATCCATTGGTGCTATTATGTGGTGATCATCCCTTTTTATCTTTTATTTGTTTCTTTGCTCATACCCTCCACAGTTTTGTTGCTTTATGATGAGTGTTCAGGTGGATATCCTGTAGTGGGACTTACTGTGTTTGAATCAAAGACACTAACCACTTTCAGCTCACTCCCTCTCGCTTGACTATTATCCACACACACCTGCAATCAGCCATGCAAACTACCCTAAACCCCACATACATGCACATAACTAGCTACCTCCACCAACCGTGTAACAACAAGGTAGGGACGTGTACAGATTTGGATTCTTTGCCTGTGGAACACAGCGATATCAGCCTCTTCTCTGTGAATGTTGACGAGGAGCGGCGGACATTGTAATTAAGAGGACTAATTCTAAAGTAATCAGTATTAAGTGCTGTAGTTTCAACTCAATTATTCTCAGTTTTTGACAGAAGTGTCTTTTACTTATTTGCAGGTTGTGTATAAATCTGTCTAGCACCACATCAACAAAACATTTCCAATTTTATGTTTTCCCTCCAATGTGTTTATGAAGCCATTTTCAGTTCTCTGCTGTCCCCTTCACATGAATATTTGTTTATCTGCTTCATTATTTCAAGCCCAGTGAGTAACCGTAACTCTAGTTTGTCTACATGGAAATCAAGGGACTACATTCTATATTATAAATAAGCACCTCAATGGGTATTTTAAAATGGAACAGGTCAGGAGTTCACCAATCCTAAACATTTAGCCTAAATCAGAACTAGTTCACCTGCCTTCTACTTTTTGGCAGTACTGTTTACAATAGTATTGTTTTCAGTTTCCCACCTAATATTTGAGTGGTCAGTGGTTAGGGTCCAAACAGCCTCTTAGACCCTGTAGTTGGAGGTGGGATGAAGATTGTGGATAGGTAAGAGCCTCATATATTAAATGGTAATTTTACATCATTGTTAGGCATCATAGATGCACACCAGAGAGCAACATTAGGCAGAGCAAGCACCTCATAACGTCTGCCCTATAAATAGATGCTTTCTCAAATCATTGCAACAGAACTTTACTTAAAACAACGATTTAAGTCCTGAAGCATATTTCAGTTCAGTGATGAATACACTTCGGCAGAACTTCAGTCACTTTTGAATGTGGTTTTTTTTTTTTTTTTTTGGACAATGCAAACACATGGCCTCCTTTACTTAACAGGCTCTGCCAGAGGATGCTTTTTGGATATCTGTCACATTTTGTGAAATTTAGTTTTAATTTTAACCCCCTCCTTTGTCTGGTGAACCTTTTTTTTTCTCATTAGTTTTTGATAGATAAAACGGAGTAATGCAGCCAAGACTGCCTTGTAAAAAAACATGTTTGCACTGAAATGCCTGGCCTTTGGTTGCTGTTAAATTCATCCAAGACGGATGCTTTGTTTATATTGTAAAATATTTCATATGAAATAAAAATGACCATGAAATGTCTTCCCTTAACATGGAATTTAGAACCACGTCAGACAACATTGTTTCTAAATGGTGACAGTGTACAGTATCATACTGTAAATTAAATCAATCTGCCATGCTTAGTATAACTTCAAAACAAAACTGAAAGATATGAGGGATCTTTTTGTAATGTCTATAATATTTGAAAAGAAGTCCCTATTTGTGTAGTAATGGTGTTTCATCGTTGTGGTAGTGTATGTGATAAACCCAGTTGGGAGATTGTGTTACTTTTTCAGACAATAAAATAACATGTTTGGTTATATGTTTTAAATGTCTTGTGTCTTGAAACCTTTCAGTGTAATGTCTTTAAGTTGAGTTATACATTAGCTGTAAGTATTTTGGATGGCACTTCTACATTATGATGCTGGTTGATTATTATTACCTAAACAGCACATGACATTTCAGTAATCATTTATACAGTTTTGAGAGAAATCTGTTGGCATGCCATAATGAAAACTGAAGTGATTTAAAAACAATTGTGAGAAGGGCATGAAAGACATTTTTTTTTCCAATTTATTGAATGTAATCACTTGTTCATGATGCATTCCATTTCCAGTGGAAGATTATATTGTCTTACAGGTTCAAATCATTCTTTAAATCATAATAAATCAGATTATTTGAATATGATTAATGTAAAAAAGCCTGAAATTGCAAGGCTTCATGGATCAACTTAATGGATCCCTGTAAAACGTAATAAATAATCTACACTCACCAGCCACTTTATTAGGTACACCTGTTCAATTGTTCATTAACGCAAATCTAATCAGCCAATCACATGGCAGCAACTAAATGCATTTATGCATGTAGACATGGTCAAGAAGATGTGCTGAAGTTCAAATCGAGTATCAGAATGGGGAAGAAAGGTGATTTAAGTGACTTTGAATGTGGCATAGTTGTTGGTGCCAGATGGGCTGGTTTCAGCAGTTTTGATTTCAGAAACTGCTGATCTACTGGGATTGTCATGTACAACCACTGGCTTTAAAGAGAATGGTCCGAAAAAAGATAAAATCCAGTGAGTGGCAGTTTTGAGGGCAAAAATGCCTTGATGTCAGAGAAGAATGTCCAGACTGGTTTTTGAGTCCACAGAAAGGCAACAGTAGCTCAACCACTCAATACAACTGAGGTACACAGAAGAGCATCTCTGAATGCACGTCAAACCTTGAAGCAGATGGGCTACAGCAGCAGAAGACCACACCTGGTGCCACTCCTGTCAGCTAAGAACAGGAAACTGAGGATACAGTTCACAAAACTGGACAACAGAAGATTGGGAAAAGGTTGCCTGGTCTGATGAGTCTCGAATTTTGTGTGCGACATTTGGATGGTAGGGCCAGAATTGGGCATAATCAACATGAAAGCATGGACCCATCCTACCTTGTATCAATGGTTCAGGCTGCTGGTGGTGGTGTAATGGTGTGGGGGAGTATTTTCTTGGCATACTCTGGGCCCCTTGTACCACTTGAGCATCATTTAAATGCCATAGTCTACTGAAGGATAACGCCCAATGTCACAAAGCCTAAATCATCTCAAACAATGATAGGTGACAATGAGTTGACTACTCACCACAGTCACCAGATTTCCATCCAGTAGCGCACCTTTGGGATGTGGTGGAATGGGAGATTCGTATCACTGCGAATTCAACCGACTGCTCGAGGCCAGCATGAAACACGCTCCGGACAGTTGATGGGCCACTGCTGCACGTTGTCACGAAAGCTTATTTGCATGTGTTTTTAAGCCTTGCCAATTTAAACAATCAAGAGATTTGCGAAAGAACTCAACTGAGGTCAAGCGCGCTGTGTTCGGTTCACACACAGTGAGCCGCGTTTCAGACTAGCAAACACCGTATTGAGTTCTCTTTCACGTCTTCTTTCGCTTGAACGATCAAATTTACCTCACCAATTTAAACATTCAGGCACAAAAAGAAATGAAAGAGCTTCATTCAGCACCCGCGTGCAGAAATAGCCACGTCTCACAGCCCGTCGATTGCGAATTGAGTTTTGCGTCTTGCGCTTATGTCGAAATGCCCGTATTGGCGAGTATTCTCGAAAAGTTGTTGGTTATGTCTGAAGTGAACATAAAAAGAAATTGGATGTGTATTACTATATTGGATCCATGCATTGTCTCTTAAAGTCACCGCACCTAATTTACCAGCTGTTGTCGGTGTTCTTAAAGGGTTACTCCACCCCAAAATGAAAATGTTGTCATTAATCACTTACCCCCATGTCTTTCCAAACCCGTAAAAGCTTCGTTCATCTTCGAAACACAATTTAAGTTATTTTGGATGAAAACCGGGAGGCTTGTGACTGTCCCATTGACTGCCAAGTAAATAACACTGTCAAGGTCCAGAAAAGTATGAAAGACATCGTC